CTCGGTGGCTCGGCTGCTGGGCGGCTCTGTGGCTCAGTTGCTGGGCGGCTCGGCTGCTGGGCGGCTCGGCGGCTCTGCTGCTGGGCTGCTCGGTAGGGGCGGCGTTGGGGCCGTTAGGGGCGACGACGAGGCCGCTTAGGGAGGGGAGCGGCGACGGGGCCGTGTAGTGGCAGCGACAGTGCCGCTTAGAGGCAGCGACATGGCCGCGTAGGGGCGGCAACCGGGGCGCTTAGGGTCGGCGACGGGGCCGCTTAGGGGTGGCGACGGGGCCGCTTAGGGTGAGAGGCTGCGACGAGGCTGGTAGGGGCTGCGACGGGGCCGCTAGGGGCAGCGAAGGGGCCGCGTATGGGCGGCGACGGGGCCGCGTAGGGTGAGAGGCGGCGACGGGGCCGATAGGGGCGGCGACGGGGCCGCGTAGGGGCGGCGACGGGGCCGCGTAGGGTGAGAGGTGGCGACGGGGCCGCTAGGGGCGGCGACGGGGCCGCTAAGGGAGGCGACGGGGCCGCGTAGGGGCGGTAATGGGGCCGCGTGAGGGGCGGCGACGAGGCCGCTAGGGGCCACTAGGGGCCTGGAAAGGGCGGCAAAAAGGCGCGCCTCGGGCAGGAGCGACTGGCGCTCTGGTCAGAAAGGAAATTTTCAATGGTGGGCCCAAGGAAGCGTTCCCACTAGGGAACCTGCTCTGATACCATGTGAAGAATGAGGAATGAATGAACTAGGAAGCAGTTGGGTACAAGTAGGAAAACCTAGAAGTGTTGTACCCCATATTGTCTACCCCACTACAGCCTACACAGACTATAGCATATGAGTTTGACATCATGCTACCTCGCTGGCAATCGCCCGAGTCTTCAACGGTCCACGTCAACGCCATCACGATAAAACGGGTTGTCGCCGCTGGAGCTGACGTGTACACAGTAGATATAGCATTAGTAGTAGAAGCGGAGCAGCCGAGTGATTTTCAGAAACTGTTGGCAGCAGTACCGCTCGAACTACATGAACTGTTAAAACGGTACCCGGGGATTTTTCCAGACGACTTACCGGAAGGGCTGCCACCTCAGCGGGCGCATGATCATAGGATCGAGTTAGAATCGGGGGCACAGCCAACTGTACGGCGCCAGTTCAGACTGACACAGCCCGAGCTCGACGAACTAAGGAAACAGTTATATTATTTGTTAGAGAAGCAGGTTATTCGACCAAGTTCGTCACCGTTCGCTGCACCGATGCTGTTCACACCGAAAAAAGACGGAGGGTTTCGTATGTGCATCGCTTACCGAGCGCTCAACATGGTAACAGTCAAGTCGCGGTACCCCATTCCCCGCGCTGACGAACTGATTGACCAACTGCGAACAGCACGGGTGTTTTCGAAAATAGACTTACGGGGGGGTTACCATCAGATTCGGGTCGAACCATCGGACTGCGCCAAGACAGCATTTAGGACTCGATACGGGTCGTTTGAGTACACGGTGTCGCCTTTCGGGCTGACCAACGCGCCCGCAATATTTCAGATGACCATGAACGAGGCGTTTAGGCCACTCTTAGATAAATGCGTGATAGTTTACCTCGACGACATCCTCGTTTACAGTCGCAACAAGCAACAGCACTTAGCGGATCTGGAAGCAGTATTTAAAGTTTTAGAGGAACATCGGTTACTCACCAAGGGCTCTAAGTGCGAGTTTTTTCGGGACAGACTAGAATTTTTTGGGCACGTTATTTCGGAGGCGGGAGTTGAAATCGACCCAAAGAAGCTGGATACGGTAAAAGCGTGGCGTCCCCCGACGAACATCACGGAACTGCAGAGTTTTTTAGGGTTCGTTAATTATGTTCGTCGGTTCGTCCCCGACATGGCACAATTTACCGCCCTGCTGACGGATTTACTGTGAAAGGGGGTCGCTTTTACGTGGGGGGAGAAAGAGCATGCTGCCTTCTCTGCCCTGAAAAATGTTCTTTGTTCACCGCCCGTCCTGCGCATCGCCGACCCACACCGCCCCTTCGAGGTTGTTACAGATCGCAAGCGACATCGCCATTGGAGCCGTACTGCTACGAGACTTCGGCAATGGCCTACAGCCCATCGCATACGAGTCACGAAAACTGCATCCGCCCGAGCGAAATTACCCGATACACGGCCGCGAAATGCTCGCGATCGTGCATGCGTTCAAAGTGTGGCGCTGCTACTTGACCGGCGCAGACGTGACAGTATGGACAGACCACCGATCACTACAGTACCTTCGTGCACAGCCCCACCAGTACCCTGGTACCCAAATTCGGTGGCTCGATTTCCTCGAGTCAAACTTCCACTACACAGTCACCTAAAAAAAAGGAGCCTCAAACATCGCCGACGCATTGACTTGCCCCACTGCCCAGATCCACGCGATACTACTCGCCCAGACCAGCCCGCTACTGACAGGACTATTTACCCACGGATATCAAACGGACCCATTCTTCACAGGAGGAAATTCGCAACAGTTCGCAGCGGCCAAGGGAGTCTATTACGTAAAAGCCGGGACCGATCGCATCTGGGTACCAGGGTAGACACTGCTACGGGAATTACTATTATAGGAGGCACATGACGGGGTCACCTCGGGACATTTCGGGGTAGAGAAAACACGGCAGCAGCTGCAGCGGTATTATTACTGGCCCGAAATGTTGACCGACGTGCAGCGATACGAGGCATCGTGTTCCACTTGCCAGATCATGAAGTCAACACGGAAGCGGCCGGCGGGACAGTTGCAGCCAATCCCACCTCCAGAGCGTCCTTGGCAGCAGGTGACGATGGACTTTGTCACGGGGTTACCGGCCGGGGCGAGTGGAAATGACGCGATCCTGGTCGTTGTCGATCGACTGACGAAAATGGCACACTTCGCAGCCTGCAAAAAATCAATCACAGCCGAAGAAACAACCCGCCTCTTCATCTCTACCGTCGTTCGACTGCACGGGATACCAGCATCAATCATCAGCGACAGAGACACGAAATTCACCAGCAACTTCTGGCGGAACCTGTGGCAGCAGTTCGGCACGCGACTACAGTTTAGTTCATCGTACCACCCCGAAACAGACGGACAGACAGAACGGACAAATCAGACCATGGAACAGCTCATCCGGGCCACGTGCGACGATCCAAATACGTGGGAACAGCAACTGCCACTCATCGAATTCGCATGCAACAACGCCCCATCCGCCACGACCGAACAGTCACCGTTTTACCAAAATTACGGACAAGACCCAACAGTACCCATGACCCCGAATCCCGACAACCCGGTTCTACGCGCGCAACAGTTCGCCGAAATTTTGCAAGCAATTCGGACCAGGGCAGCAGACGCAATTAAAAAAGCTAACATCATCGCTAAATGCAACGCCGACCGCCACCGCAGACCCGTCACTTACGAGCTCGACGACTTAGTTTTGCTCGACTCCCAAAATCTCCGACTGTCCATCACCCCAAAACTCCGCCCCCGATACTGCGGGCCATTTCGCATAAGCCACATGATTACACCTGTCACCGCCCACCTCCTCCTCCCTGCTGACTGGTACGTCAGCCCCTCGTTCCATGTCAGCCTACTTCGCCCCTACATCCCGTTCACAAGCCAACTCCCACGCAATCACCCAGCCAGCATGACACGACCGCCGACTGAGCCAATCATCACCCCCGAAAAAATCCTGAGCCACAGAGTTCGTGACCCTCAAGGAGCCCGAAGGATCGAGTTCCTACTCCGCTGGAAAGACCGTACACCCACCGAAGACAATTGGGTTCCCCTGGACAGAATCAAAAACCACCCCGTCCTCACCGAGTATCTGCGCAGCCGAAACTTCAGGGATGTACTCGCACTCTCGTAAGGAGGACCTCCTTAGGAGGGGGGGGGTAGTGTAAGGAAAATTCCTTTTCCTTACTTCACATCCCTGCTCAACGCGTACATCACTGTAGCACCACAGTCAGCACCGTTACCACTCGCAATCCTCGCATCGACAATCCGCCCGCCACCTTCGCACGTCGCACCCCGACCTCACGGCTCGGCGGGTAACCCGCGCTCTGGGCCTCCGCTTCAACACTTTTCCCAACCTCGGTCCCAGGCCCGTCGCGCGACAACCACAGTCCATTACCGTTACCACTGTAGTTTCGCTATATATTCTTCGCTCATGCCTTCGCTCATTGTACTCTTGCTTCGATAGTGCAATTCTCGTTCGTTCACTCAATTGCACTCGTAACAAATACCTGCAACAACGAATGCTTCTCATGCGAAAATATATGGTTCCATGTCATCAATCATTTCACTTGGAGCACGACTCCTTCTGGTTATGCACAGTGATCATGGAATGTTCGGTTGTTGATTTTTTAATAAATCACTTTCTGAAAATGCGTATTGTGAAGCGCAGCTTACTGTAATGCTGTATGGCTGTGGAAACTTAATATTTGCCGAGTTGTATATGTGAAAATGAACGAGAATGAATGGACTGTGAAACAAGTGGGTACAAGTACTAACCCTAATTGGGTTGTACCCCCTATGGGATACCCCACTACAACCTACACAATATGTATAAGCTACAATGTTCTGACAGTATACTTGTATCATTATAGTTGGACAAGAATGTTGTAATTACTCCAGCTGTACTAAAGCACGTTGCCTCGGCAAGAACAGAAAGCAAGCTTTCTCAATCCATACATATTCATGTTCCTTGTACTACCGGTACTCAATAAATTCACTAGGCATCAGCATGCGATACAAGATTTGTACACCCAATACAAAAGCACACCCAACCTTTAACTATGCACAAACTACTCAGTGCAGCAAAGACCACCTTGCAGATGTGTTGGCAGATCTGCATATGGTAACCCACTCTACTCCCTACACTTGAGCTACTGTATCAGCAACAACTCATTCCGTGAGCCAAATTGTTCTAAGCTTGAAAGGCACACCTACCCCATCGAAGTTACGAAGGTTAAACCAGTTTACGGGCATATAATGATGAGCAGACACTCTCGCTGTCCCAGCCCTGTATAATCCCTCATATCAAATTTCCCTATCCCTCCACTTCAACCGTCGCTCCCTCATCTTCCCCACCACCCACCGCGGCACCGCCCCTCTCCTCTGCTCCTCTTGCCTCCCCTCCTTAGCCGACTCATACATCCCTTGTCTCCTTCTTGCCACCATTCTATCCGCCTGGTTAGCTTGCACAAAGAGCTCATGCGCAGAAGCTGCATTCCCAAGCGCCTCCTCCACCTGTGCTGCCTGCTGCAGCGATGCTGCGTTGCCCAGCTGGGCTGAGAGGGCTAGTGATAGGAGGGAACGGGCCTTGGCTAAGTTTCCCTGCTGCCACTCCAAGCATGCGTATGCCTGCGAGACACGACGGTGAAGAGGGAGCGAGGAGAGTGGGGGGGGGGCATGAGTGTTGTGAGGGGGTGATATATGCAAGTGGAGGGAGAAGGGGCATGGAACAACTCAAAGCCGCAATACGATCACACGACACTACAAAGCAGGCTGGCGAATTCCAACAAGGGAAGAAAAAGGTAGTTGCATGCGGGGTGAGGTTAGAGGGGAGGGAGCATACCTGAAGAGTGGGGACTGAGTGGGGAGCAGCCTCCAGGCAGCGATCAAACAGCCGCCTTGCCGCCTCAACATCTCCTGCTGCATGCCCCATCACACCCCACACCTGCAACGCCCGCACACACCCAGGCTGCACCTCCAAGCACTTCACAAACAGTCCCTTGGCTGTCTCTCTGCTCTCGGGTGTGGCTAGTCGGGCCTCCTGGCACGCCCATGCGTGCAGTGTGGGGATGGACTTGGGGTTGGCTGATAGAGCCGAGTAGAAGAGGGTTCGCATGCGGTCCACCTGGCCAGCCTTTGCTTCGAGGAGGGCCCATGCTTGCGGTGGAATGAGGGATAGGAGAGAGTGCATGGGCAGGGTGAGGAGGTGGTGGGTTGTTTTTGAGACGTCTGAAAAACACCCTCACTTACCGTGGCCCATGCGTGCAGTGGAATGAGGGATAGGAGGAAATGCATGGGCAGGGTGAGAGGTGGTAGGTTGTTTGCTCACAGCTCCATGAAGTGAGGGTGTTTTTGAGACGTCTCAAAAAGAGGGCGCATGCCTGCGGTGGAATGAGGGATAGGAGAGAGTGCATGGGCGGGGTGAGGAGGTGGTGGGTTGTTTAATCACAGCTCCATGAGAGGCAATTGCGATGCCACGCATTGAATTGCGGACAGCATACTGACAGGTAGAGCTCGAGAGCAGTGAAAGGAATCAATGAGGAAGAGAGAGTGAGAAGAGAGCAGCAGCAAGCATATGAAGTTTTGCGCGAACAATGATACAGTGAGTGAACCCACCTGCTAGGACGCAGCGTTAAGAGGGGCAGCAGCAGTGGACTTCTTGAAATAGCACCAGGCGGCACTCAGGTTCTTCATGGAAGCTTCCAAGAGAGCGCGTGATAGCAGAACCACTGGGCTGCCCGGCTGAAGCTTCTCTGCCTGCTCCAGCAGGTTTCGGGCAGCTTGAAAGTTCCCTTTGCGCTTCTCAGCCATGGCCCAGGCGTGAAGGCCAATCCCAGAAAAGATACAAGCAAGGAAGCACAAGAATGACTACATCAGACACCTAGCAACCCTTCTGCTAGCCTCGTCGATCGCCAGCACAGCTCAGTCGATCGCCTGCCAGAGTTGCGTAGAGGAGTCGCGCCAGCACTGCAGAAAGGTGACCTGCCAACGGAGCAAGTCGACGGCATGCCAACGCTGCAGCAGAGCGGCTGTCCAGCATTGCCCCGTACAACACAGCAGTGTGCACGCTCGCAGGTGTGCGCAAACGATTGGCCCAACTTGCCTCGTTGGGCATTCGTCGGCTGTTGTCTGCGCCTGACGAGCCATATCGACTACGGGATACCAGCCCGCAGTCGCCTGCGTCATCGCAACATCGACGACGTTCGCGTGCATCTGCAGAACTCGTCGAGCAGGTTACCCGGTCGACCCGGTCGACCACCAGGTGCTTCCGGTCGACCACCAGGTCCCTCTGGTTGACCACAACTCCCGTCGAGCTACCCCCTGGTCGACGGACCACTTCCGTCGACCAGAACCATCAGCGGTTGTCGCCGAGCTCCCCTCGTTGACTGCTTCTCATTTGTCAGGTCGACGGACTGCTCCGTCGACCACCCGGTCGAGTTGTAGGTCCTGGTCGACATCCCACCCGTCGCTCAGACCAGTCAGTTGCAGCTGTCGAGCTCCCTAGTCGACAGCAAAACCACAGCGGTCCCCTGCAGCTCGACGAAGCCTGTCAGGCAGCTCTCGTGCATCCGACCAAGTCGTCGGCGTTGCCAAAGCGAGGGCGGGGCCAACACTCCATTTCTGCTAACACTCCCCTGCCGCGCTCACGCTTGGGCCTCCAGCTCACACGGCAGAACTCCACGGAGAAAACTCATCATCGACTTGCACCCCACACACAGCACGCCGTCACCGCACCAGCCGTGCAGGAGGGCACGGCACCTACAGCTGCACCTCATCGTCGCCGTCGCCGACGTCGGATAGACGAACTTGGCCGATGGTGACAGAGCACCGGTTGAAAGCCAGAAAATGAAGCGCCTTCGTCAGGAAGTCCGCCGGCTGCTCGGGGGTCGGGATGTACTTCAGCACAAATTTCCCGCGCCTCACCATGTGTTGCAGCTAGGCATAGCGTCGCTCCATGTGCTTGAGGTTGCCCGTCAGCCCCAAGCCCTCAGCGACCGTGATTGCCGACTTATTGTCGACGCGGAGGACGGTTGGCTTCCCATCGTCGAGGAGCTTGAATTCCGCAAGGAGGAAGCGAAGTCGACGCCCCTCCTTGCCGGCATCCGTGGCCGCCACGTACTCCGACTCAGTCGATGACAATGTCGCGCACTTGATGCGCGAACTCGACCAGGAGACTGCGGCTCCTCCGTAGACGAGCACGTAGCCTCCCGTGCTCGTTCGGTTCTGCTTGTCGCCCACGTCGTCGGCATCGACATAGCCGATCAGCTCCAATGATTCTGGTCCACCGCCAAACTCCAAGGCGGTATCGCGGGTGTCGGCGAGGTAGGCGAGGCAGCGGTCGACCTCGCGCCAGTGCTGGTCGCTCCTCACTGTGAGGCCACTTCCCAGCTTGCTGCAGGCAAATGCGATGTCCGGCCTTGTCATCGTCGCCGCGAACTGCAGCGAGCCGACCTTCTGCCGGTAGTCCTCCTCTTCGCACTCCTGAGCCTCCTCGTCATCGAACGTCAGCTGAGCGTAGGCGTCGACCGAGACCGGTGTCTTCGGGACTCGACCGCCTTGCTCCTCGTCGATGAAGCGCCTGTGAAGCTTGTTGGCGTAGCCCCGCTGGTGCAGCCACAACTTCCTGGCTGGCCTCTCGCGCACGATCTCCAGCCCAAGGTACTTCACCACCGGCGAGATCTCACGTAGCTCGAATGCGGCCTCCAGCAGCTCCTTCAGCATCGCGGTGCTGCAGGTAGCGGCAAGCAGGTCGTCGACGTAGACCAGCACCCAGCAGGTCACTCCGTCGTCGCTGACCTTGAAGTAGAGTGCCTCGTCGACCTGGCTCTTCTTCCGGCCAGCGCCCAGCAGCACACCGTCGAGAGCCCTGTACCACAGCAGCGGCGACTGCTTCAGCTCGTAGAGGCTCTTCAGCAGCTTACACACCCGGCCGGTCCCGTCGTTAAAATAGTTCGGCTGGTACATGTAGAGCACCCTATCGAGCTTGCTCCGCAGGAAAGCATTCTTAATGTCGAGCTGCATCAGGTTGAGATCGAGGACGGCAACGATGCTGAGGAAGATCCTCAGTGTGACATAGCTGCTCACCGGGGAGTACGTCTCGTCGTAGTCGGCGCCGTACACCTGCGTGAAGCCCTTCACGACTAGCCTTGCCTTCTCGCGCTCGACGGTGTCGTCGATGCGGTACTTGGTCATCAGCACCCATCGGTTCTTCATGATGTTCACCCTGCGTGGGCGTTCGACCAGCTCCCAAGTCCCCATAGCGATGAGGCTACGGATTTCTTCTTCCATGGCGGCCTTCACCACCTCGCCCTTCCAGCTCGACAGCGCCTCCTTCACCGTCATCGTGGCGATGTCCCAGCAGTGTTCGGGGTCGGCATGCACGTCAGCGTCGAGCTCCGATAGGTCTTCATCCTCCTCGGCATCGTCGTACAGTAGGTTGTTGTCGACCTGGTTGTACACCGTGGTGAAGGCAGCTGGCGGTAGGCATGCGTGGAAGCTCAACCGCTCCGGCAGCCGTCGAGCTCGACCTGTGCGTCGCAGCTCGGGCTTCGTGATCGGCACTTCCATTACATCGCTGTCGGTGGACTCCTCACCCGCCGACTGCCCCCCTTTCTCGTCGACGAGAACGTCGTCGACCAGCTGCTTCGACCCTTTGACCGGATGTTCGTCTGCTGCTGCCTTCGACAACTCTCCTGTCGAGCGCTCCGGCTGCTGCTCCCCTGTCAAGTGTACCCTTGCCGTTGCCTCCTGTTCGACCGGCTCCTCTGTCTGGTGCTCCCCTGTCGTCGACGGCTTCCCATCTTGATCGACGAGCTAGGTGCCCTGTCGACCGCCGGCGATGCCATGGGCCGGCGCCACAGGCGACGCCTCAAGGCTCCCCTCATCGTCGGTGGTCGACACAGGTGCCGACCCAGGCCGATCTGCGACGGGGAACGGAGGAGCAAAGACAGGGGGAGGGGAAGGAACCTCCACAACATCCTCATCACCAGGCTCGTCGACTTCGGCGAGCAACGGAACCGTCGCTGTCGATGTATCCGTTGGCGGGTGAGCCTGCGTCTGCTCCGACGTCGGCCCATACTTCGCCTTCCACACCTCCAGCGACAGCGTTTCGTAGAAGATCACCTCGACCGACGTGACCACCTTGTTGTCGGTCAGGTTGAGCACCTCCTAGCCCTTGCTCTCTGGCGACACACTCAGGTGAAGTCCCCAGCGAGCCTTCGGCGCCAGCTTCCCACCACGTTGCTGCTCGGGAACCATGAACTGCACCATGCAGCCCCACACCCGCGCCAGCGTAAGGTCGGGCTTCAGCCCGGTCAGCAGCTGGTACGGAGTCGTCCCCGGCGGCGTCGTCGACCGCTCCAAGCAGTTGCGCACCCAGACAGCTTGTCGTAGTGCAAGGTGCCACCAGTGGTGCTGCACGCCCATGTGCAGCAACATCGTCTGCACGGACTCGACGGCCATGCGCATCTCCCGCTCAGCCATGCCATTCTGCTGCGGAGTGTAGGGGCACGTCAGGTCGTGGACGATGCCCTTCCCGTCGACGAAGTCGGTGAACGCCTTCCCAAGGAACTCCCCTCCTTGATCGGAGCGAAGCGATAGCACCGACTTCTTCGTCTGCCGTTCCACCAGCACCAGCCACCGCTGGAACTCCCGCAGCACGTCGCTCTTCCTAGCGACCGGCATTGCCCATACAAATCGAGTATGGCGATCCTTCAGCAGCAGGAAGTATAGGCTGCCATCCTTGGCAGCCACTCGAAATGGCCCGCACAAGTCAATGTGCACGACAGCCAGCGCCTCCGCTACGTCCGAGCCCTTGGTAGGGAAGGTGTGCCGCGCCAGCTTTCCACCGATGCACGAGACACACGGCGGGTCTGCTCCGGTCGACGGCGTGATGTCGAGCCGATCGTGTTGAGCCATGTTTTTCCGAGCTCTTGATCGTGTCGACGCCGACGTGCGCGAGCCTCGCATGTAGCCGATCAGGGGTCGCCTTTGACGCCGAGACGATCATCCGCAGAGCCACCACCTCGGTCGACGGCGACTGCGTCAAGCATGGGCGAAGGTCGGTGCAGAGGACTCGTCCGGTGTAGCGTGCTCGACCGAGCACCTCCCCGGTCGTAGCAACGAGCAGCATCTCGTTGCCGTCACCCTGCAGCTGCACTCCGCTCTCCTTCAGTTGGCCGGCTGACAGCAGGTTCGCCTGAACACCCAGAACGTAGAGCACGTCGGGGATGAGCACCCGCTTCCCGGCCTCCCCTTGCA